AGCTATGTTCAATTCCCACTACAGGAAAGATAGAAAAGGAAGGAAGGAAGGGAGGGAGGGAGGGAGGGAGGGAGGGAGGAAAGAGATGAATAAAGAAAAGAAAAAAGAGGAGACGGGAGATGCCTGCTCTGCGGAGACAGCAGCGTGCACTCCACCCAGCTGCCCCGCTGCCTCCTGAAGGCCGGGGTGCAGCACAGTAGCCCTGACAGGCGGAAAGACAGCAGCAGCTGCCTGCAGATGCTGGGCTTTGAGGAAGGCCACTGCGGCATCCTCAGGCTTCACGTCTGCTTCCCACGGATCCCAGGTCCCCCGCAGCCTCAGACCAAGGAAGCGTGATGGGCCCAGGGGCCCGTGTCTGTAATCCCAGGTCCTGGTGGCCGAGGCAGGAGGATCGCAGCATGAGGCCACCTGAGCTCTGAAGGGAGACCCATCTCGTCAACACACAAATAAATAGCAGCACAGGCCCCGCCCCGCAAAGGCGCCCGAGTGTGCGGGGCAGCGACACCACCGCGTCTCCGTCCTGCCCTGGGGAAGCGGGACACAGCGCCGGGGGCGGCGGCGTGGCGCGGCACGGCTGCACGCGCTGGCAGGGGACGAGAAAGACCGGCCGCCAGCGCTCTCCGCTGACGACGCGGGCGCGCTCTGGAAGCGCAGCTGCGTGTCCCCGAGTGCGCGCCGGACGCACAGCGCGCGGGCGGGCGAGGCGCGGCCTGGACGGCGGAGCGCACACGGGGCTCGGCGGGAGCCTCCCTTCCCGCCCCGAGCGCCCGCCCGGACGCCGCCGAGCGCATGTGCTCCTGCGTCCTCACGGCGCCAGCGAGCGCGGGCCTCGTGTGCGGGATGCTGCTTCGGAACCGCGCGTTTCCAGAACTGCGCGGACGCCCGCCGCCAGCGCGCACAGCCCCGCGCGGTGACGGGCGCTCAGAGCGGGCCTTCGGCTGCTGGGCCTGGCCGGACCGCGCAAACCCCTGCGCGAGCGCTAGCTGGACCCTGCGCCCGGGAGCCAGGAGCAGACACCCGTGCCTGCCACCGCAGGGCCGACCGACCGGGCGCTGCTGCAGAGGGCGTCCGGGCTCCTCGGCTGGGAGAGACGTTTGGCCCAAAGACGACTTCGGGACGCCGCGGAACGTCCAGGAAGAAGGCTCAGCGGTTTTGCTACAAAGAACACGGGCACCCTGAAAGCAAGAGCCACGTCCAGCAACCAGAAGCGCTCTGCAGTCACCGCGGTGCTTTTCTGAATAAACGCAAGGCGTGGCGCTAGCTCTGTTCAGGACTGAGTGGATCAGGAGGGCGGCGCCTGCACCAGACTGCGGGAAGCCCAGGCTCTCGGTGGCACAGAGTGGGCATGAGCGCCGTGGCACACGTGGGCTGGCAGCACCCACTGATGTGCGGATTCGGGGGTGCGGCGGAAGCACCTTCCCTTTCCAGGATTTTACGAATTTCCTGAGCACTCCTGCATCCGTTGGGCTGCAGCTAAGCAAGAGAAACCGAGCTCAGGCCTCGCGTTTCCTTTCTACCTCGCAGGCCGGGTCAGGCCCGGCAGCTCGGGTTCAGAGGCGGGAGGGGGTGACTCGGCAGCACCCGTCCGCGCCCCGCTCTGCTCTGGGGACACGCAGCTCGTCCCGCCCGCGGGGTCTCAGGGAGGCGGCCAGCCAAAGCCGGCTCCGAAGGCCGTGGGGCCGTGCCGACTGCCACCTGCAGCTCCGCCAGGCGCGGGGAGGTGAGCTGACTGCAGAGAGCGAGGCTGTTTCCCAATCACTGCGGCTTTCTTTTGCTGTATTGCTGCCTCCAAGATTTTGGAAGTTATTTATTTCACTGAAGAACATTTGGAGAACAGGAGGCATCAAGAAATTCACAGAAAGCCCCCACACGTGAAACAGTCATTGATAAAATGTTGGTGAATTTGATCTTAAAGTTTAATCAACACAGATAAAAATTATTTCAGATAAATCCTAATTGATTCATTTAATTTGAACATGGGATTAATACATTCTGCCATGTGGAAACAGCACAATTTATGCTACCATTCTTCTAGATCCATTGATGTCCACTCCCGTTTCCTTATTACATGTAATGCGGCAATTAATACCACTGGACATAGAGCTGCGGCTGGTCTCTGATTCACTTAAGTTCCAAGCAGACATTATTGGACCAAACTTGCTAAGGTTGTTTTTAAACACTGCCAAATGAATATGCACTTCATGTTTACAGTGAGGAAAACTTCAATCAATAAAAACAGCAATCACATTAGCCCTTTTAATTTCAGAGTTTGGTAAAAAATTTAAAAAGCGATAATATATAATTTCAAAAATACATTGTACAGGGCCAGCCAAATAGCTCAGCAGATTAAAGCACCTGCAAGCAGGTGCAGGGGCTAGGGTTTAATCCCCAGGCCTGCTGTGCCAGCCCCGTCCCCGGGGCGCACTGAGATGGCAATTGAGAGTGCTTGTGGTGGCAGGCACCTGTAATCCCAGCTCTCGGGAGGCTGTAAACAGGCAGATCACTACGAGTCCCATCTAGTAGTGAGACCCTGAACACCCTGTAGACCCTTCCTTAAAATACAAAGAAGAAAAAATATTATATAAATTAAAGCATTATATAAATGTAAACTATTATTCTGATACAAGAAAACTACTTGAAGTTGGTTTATAACAGCTTATGATTTTCATCATACACTGTCACCAGTACGTAATCTTCGGCAATGCGTGCCCTGTCTGGCCTTGTAACAGACGCACTTTCGTTTTAGTTACTGAAGTATTTTTTAATTATAGGACTTTAGTCAACTAGCTAGTTAAAGTTACTAAGCACCTATGCCCTACACAAAGGGCCATGAAACCGGGAATGCCCTAATATAAATGAGTGTGGGAGACAAATGCAGTCAGCTAAAGTGACCGTGGTCAAGCGCCCGACGGGAGCAAGGCGCGCAGCGGGCGGGGCACGACCACGCTCGCCCGCCGCCGCCCCGTCGTCTCCCGCTTTGTCCTCTTGGCTTCTGTTTCTAGCACCTGTTTTCTGTCTGACCCTCTTCCACTTCACGTGGATTTGCCCTCTGGTTCTGGGGAGTTTCTTTTTTTATTAATTTTATTGAGAAACAAATAGCAATGAGACAGTTTTAAAACTTATTAGTAGGACAGTTTCAATAATTAATACATTGCATATTGTTGTCTTCATAGTGGTTATCCGTAGGACAAGATGCAGACCTGATATCCTGTCCAAACACTATTAGTACAAAGCTTTCTTCTCATTGAATTAAGAGAAAGTAGCTGCATATCTGCCCTATTTTGTACATACAGACACAGAATGGCCCTTCATTTGGAGCCCCTTTTTCGTTTCGTTTGTCAGGGATGGGTACTCCATTGCATTTACATATCGTAGGAGCTTCATTCTGAGCTTGCCCATGGAAACCAAGCACCCAGACGTGACCCCCGGCGCCCCCCACCCCATGGCGCCTGTCTCAGGACGGCCTCTCACGCAGGGCCGACCCCTTTCCATGACACTCGGCCTCGCCCTCCCCAGGCCACTCCTGATCTGATGCTGATCGCACCTCACTGAAACACATCCTAGGCTGAGCCGGGAAACCTTCTAAGCAGCAGGCTCAAAGAAGGCCAGAGGGCAGGAGCTCGGGGGAAGAGGCCACTATCATTCATCATGTTTACGCACCCACGCAGGGCAGGCCTGGGCGCCACGCGCTTTTAGTGACGCCGAGACCAGGCCTCGCTGCCTGCAGGGCTCGCGCTAGCGCGGGGCGGCGGCGGCAGCAGTAACGGCCAGTGCGGTCCTCCTCCTGCTACTTCAGGAGGAAGGACTTGAGAAGCTGCTGGCAACCGAGAGAAACCAAGTGCAGCATGAGACGCAATCCTGAGGCACGGGAGGCCCCGCCAGGGCTGACAAGACACACCACAGGTCACCTGCCCTTTGTGTCTGGGCGCGTATTCTGAGCCGAGTGGCACCTGTCCCTAGGGTGACCAAACATGAGGCTTGATTATTAACCTGTCTGTCCTATAAAGGTCAGGGGGCTTTTTCTGTTGCATGTAGCCCAGCTGTTCCTACAGCCGACCTGTGCTCATGTACAAACGATTACGTGCTGTGAAGAAATACATACAGCCAAACAGCGAATATCCCAGAGTAGAGATGATGCCAGCATAAACCCGATCGCAAGCAGGAAATCGACAACTATTCGTTCCGTATGCCACGCAGGTGTGCTCCTGGCATTTCAGTTTTTAAACCTCTGGTAATGTTTCGCCTTTCTAAGATCCTCACCCAGCGTGAAGGGAGCTAGCGTCAGTGCTGGTGACAGCAATGTCTGGCACACGGCATCCACTCTAACAGTGGAGAAATGAAACGAAAATTGTGGTGACTGCTTGATTCTTTTTCCTAAAGGCACTATCAGAGAAATAAATTGCTTAGCGTCTCTATTGAGAAAGATCAAATGTTACTTTAGCAACACACAATGACTACTGTATTCTAAAATGTCAAGATGGTCATTTAAGAGACTTTACAGTGAAAATTTAAGATAGCCACATTGAGCTATATTAAAAACCCAGAGTATAATCAGAACTAGCTCTTTACTAAAGAAGCTCACAGTTGCAATTAGAAGACCCCAGTTCTTAAGAACTGGCTCTATGAAAGGTCAAACTCGAATAACTAAATCTCCCATAAAAGTAAATCAAAGGAGTGAAGTTAGCTGAAATGAAAGTTATTATAAAAAGAATGTGGTGGCTTGAATCTAGCAACTACACAGTGGAGATATTTCTGAAGAATTCTGAAAAATCTTCTGGACTACCATGATACAGTGGCTCGCAAACTATTTTTAGAACACAACTTTGGAGTCGTCAGTAGGTCTAACATTAATACATGAAGGTGACAAGGTGCTTGGCCCCCTGAAGTGCCTGGATATACAGGATTTGGTTAAGATGACACGATTTTTGGTAAAATATGATTATTTAATTTTGGCATAATAGTGACTTATTATATTTTAATATTTCAAAAATATACTTTCATACTGAATAAACCACCAAAGGCCTCCGGCCGGCGCCTACAAGCAGGCTTTGGCTCCATACACCAGGCTGCTGTTACACTGAAGGCAGTGGGTTCCATCGCGGGGGTTGTAAGACCCGGGGCTGCAGATCACTGTGGATAAAGAGGAAACCAGTAAGTAATGTTTCCCCAAATTTCACCTCGATGAGCTTTACATGGAGAAGGAGAGGCTGGCAGGGAGTACTTTCCCTGATTTTTTAGCCCAGCAAACTTCCCCATTGTAGTCCTTTTGCAGGGCGTACCTGAGTAGTGCACCTCACATTACTACCTTCTGCAGAACATTCTCAGCTTGCAAAACTGCAATGCCTGCCTGGGAAACAGCTCCCAGCTCCACTCCTCCACACACAGGCAGCCACTGCTGTCTGCAGCTGTGAATGCAAGCGTGGCTCACCCCACACACATGCGACGCTGTGTCTTAACACTGCGTTTAGGTGAGGGCCTAGAAATCACCATTCTGGTCCCTCAGTGCTGAGTTTAAATGCGGACTTGCAGAATCCGAAAGAGACCGTCATCGGAAGAGCGGTGAAACAGGCTTACCAGGTAGCCTGTGACTGTCTTAGGAGTACAAAGACGGCCCCAAGGTGGCAGAAGGACTGCAGCTTATTTTTCATCTAATTTTAAGTCCATAAGATAAGCATACAATTTTGGGAGAATTACTAGCCTCGCCAAGTTTGCCCGCCCCTAGTATAACACACACCACGAACACAGCACACAGATACCTTTGCACAACTGAGGTAAGGTACCAAGCTAAAATACGTGATTGGCTAACTTTGGAACCCCAAGTAAAGGAGGAGTTTCTAAGTTCCATCTGACTTGCAAAAGAGGTAAACAGTAGCCAACTTCACAGTGTCGCCATGAGGCTGATCTCCATGAAAGAGCCCCAGCGAACCAGCGCTCGCCGCGCCTCCACCCACCCCAGGCGCTGGCCAGCTCGGGGCTGAGGGCTCCAGGAAGCCCGTCCTCTGCCCCACGCAGCTGCGGTCTGTGATGGCACCAGGACACTGCAGGGGTGCCTGGGAGGCATGACTTTTATGGGGCAGCAAATAAAATTCTTTCTCTGGGATCACGTACATGTTTTGCAAGATAAAGACATTCTGAACATTGGCTGCACATGTGACTTGGTGGGTGTTAAAGCTGTTTGAGCTCTTATTTTTAACCTGTGTTTTTCAAGTTGGGGACTATCATAACTGTTCACTCATGGGAAGGTATTGTCCACACTAGATTCCACAGAGTTCTTCTAATTTTAATAGATGATTAATTAGGGAAACAATGCTGCAGGTGGGGGAAGAGATGCCAGTTAACCAAGTGAAATAGATTTCCTTTGCTTTAGTAATAAAAAGAAGTTTAAACGTGGACTGCACATGGTAAAGTTCTGGTGGCAAAACACGTGTGATTTCTCAAAGGCGTCCGATCATACTACCCTCCCTCCGGTCACACGTTACCATTTCCTGACACAGAGACAGGGAAGTGCTGAAGAGAGGCGCTGAAAGCGTGGAGCCACGTGCAGAAGTGCAGCCTGCAGCCCGCCTTCACGTGACACCGCTGGCGGCCATACGGTAGACCTGACACGGGCACAGAAGCACGCACAAAGCTTACACCAATGCGAGCAAGTCGCTATTACAGTTGCCAAAACTTCATGACACAAAACATATCATATCCTGGAATCTTCTTCTGTCGCGCTGTTCTTGGCCTCTCCATGCTAAAACGTATCTTCTCTATTAAAAGGAATTGAGAACAACGCTCAGTGCAATGCAAAGGACAGAGCCCACACGCTGCACTCACCAAGTGTAGAGGAAAGCGCCCACAGCTAGCAGGCGCTAACACACAAGGGAGGGGGGGAGGGGACCGCAGGCACCCGCATGAGCCCTGGAGAGGGGACTTCTTTACAAAGGGACAAAAGCATTAAGTGTAATACAAAATTATGTTGCTCAAACTAAGAACTTGATCAAAAATCAGAAAAATACCAATCAAGGAACAAGATTAGGAACAGCTGCCACCACACAGGAGCAGAGGGACATTATTCAGCACACAGGGACAACTCAAATCCACACGTCAAGAAAATAAAACTACAAGGAAGCAGCAAAGAGAAAGTGGTCAACTAATTGGATGGATAGATAGATAGATAGATAGATGACAGATAGACAGATGATAGATACATGATAGATAGATGATAGATAGATAGATGACAGATAGATGATAGATAGATAGATAGATAGATAGATGACAGACTTTTTTTTCCTCAAAGCAGAAAACTAGAAAATACAACTCTGCACCCACCTGTAGCACCCTGAGAAGGCCAGCAAGGGGGTAACTTAGAGCTCGCAGCCCGTTACTTCAGCAAAGGAGCCATCCCCACAGAAGAATCTAGAACAAGGCACATGTACCACATGTACCACACCAAGCCTGCAGCAAAAGCTCACACCACCGACCCCAGAAGTAGAACAGTCAAAGCCACATGGAGACATCACGCCTCTCATCCAGTAGGATGAACATACGAGGTGAGGATGCAGAAAAGCTGGACACCTCAGGGGCAGGTAGACTACGAACTGGTGGTGCCGCTATGAAAACCAGAAGGTTTGGTGGTTCCTCCAAAAATCTGATATAGAATTGCAAGGTGATCAAGCAAACCGCCTGTGGGCGCGAGACCAAAGGAACTGACAGGAAGGCCTCAGGCAGATGCCTGTGCACCCGTGCTCGCTGCAGCCTTGGCCATGGAGGTCCGGCTGTGGGAGCAGCCCCGGGGCACAGCCACAGAGAACACCTCAACACGGTGGCTCAGGCTCAGCCGTGCAGGGCAGCAGGTTCTGCTACTGCTCCATCAGCGAACTTGTGCGGCGTGAAGCCAGGTCATCACAAAGCCCAAAGAGCACACGACTGCACTCGCAGGTGGCTTCTGGCAGTCGAACTCATAGGCCCAGAGCGTGGAGCTGGGGTGGCTGGCTAGTGGAGGCTGGGGACGGGAAGGTGTTGGTCAGCGGATGTACATTTTCAGCTACAAATTTCTCTTTCTGTTTGACAGTGACAATTCTAAGGGTAAATTCAAAAACCATTCATTTAAAACATACAAGACACAGTATTTGGGGATAATTTTAACCACAATAAATAGTTATAATGAAACCAAAAATCAATGAAATAAACTGAGTAAGCCCCAAAGGGCATACACTCATGGTTGCTTGTTAGCAGACTTAACACTGTCAAAATGTCAACCCTCCCCAAAGCTATCTGTAGATTTAATGCAATCTGTACCAAAATGTCCTGCACTTTTTTCAGAAATAGAAAAATACATCCTTAAATTCTTTTAGAGTCTCAAAGAAAACCAAACACGCTTAAAAGGAAGTTAAATGTCTCATCCTTCTGGACTTACATCTTAATGTAAGACTACAGCTATGAAACCACTGGCACGCCGGCAAAGAGCCTACAGAGCCGCGTAACGGAGCTGTGAGGCTAGTGATGAGCCCTTCAAAGGGCCCACTGATTCTAAGGGGAGTGATTAAAGGTAATGCATGAGGAAAGATTTTTTTCCCCATCATGTGGGGAAACTAAATACTCACACGCCACTGAAGGAAGCTGCACTCTTACATCATAACTTATGCAAAACTGAGCTCAAGGACTGGGGAGATAGCTCAGCAGTCCAAGTGCCTTCCTGGGTTCACTTTCTGCCACCACATGCTGGGCCAGCCCTGGAACGCCAGGCATGCTGTGTCAGGCATCCAAACCGGGTGCAGAGGTGCACATCTGTAATCCCAGAGCTGAGGAGGCTGAGACAGGAGGATCACTATGAGTCTAAGCTGTGTAGCGAGACTCTATATTAAATACATAAATAAAAAAGAATTTTTCAAAAAATAGCTCAAAATGCATCAAAGACTTAAAACTCAAACTCAGAAGAAAAATACTCAGAAGAAAGCCTTGGGGAAAACTCCATTATGTCATCTTCTGCAGTGATTTCTTCATGTGATACCAAATTAGAGTCCATCAAAATTAAAAACTTCTTCTGCGTCCACCAACAACATAAATACCATAGAGAGGCAGCCTACCAATGAAGAGAAATAACTGCAGAGAGTACGTCTGACAAGGGACTGATACTCAAAAGTATGCCTTCAAAACTCCAACAACTCGGCAGCAATGCCGCCAATAAACCCAATGAAAGAAACGGAAGACGGGCACAGACGTCTCTCCGAAGAAGACAGGTAAATGGCACATGCACACACAAATGGGAAAACCTAAACACCAGTGAGACATTGTTTGGAACCATGAGTTTAGCAACTTGGTGAGGATGTGGAAAAACTGTGAGACATGCCCCTTCCTTTGCACACAGTGGCCATACAGCACACACCTCCTGAGAAAGCAAGGGGGACGACCGCACGGGACCGCAGCTCAACTTCCGGGAGGGCGACGTGGGAAAGAGCAGAAGGCAGAGAGTCACAGGATGCCGAGCCTGTATGCGCTCATGCCTGTGCCCCCCACCGGTTGCCTGTTCAAGCCCTGAGCCGCAGTGAGGCTGCGTTCCGAGCTGGGCTGTCCCTCTAAGACAGGACAGGTAATGGGGTGGGAAGGGAGGGTCTTGGCAGTAGGGTCAGGGTTCGCATAAGAAGAAACACCAGAGAGACTGCACATTCTCTTTCCTCCTCTCCTTTATGAAAGAAATGCCACGTGCGGACACAGGAGAGGCGGCTGTCTGCAGCCCTTAAGACAGCCCTGAAGAGAAACTGAATTGGATCAAACCTCGACCTCGATGCTCTTAGCCTTCAGAACTGTGAGAAAACGAATTCCTCTTGTCTAAGACACCAGGTCTAAGGATTTAACTTTAGCAGCCTCACTAACAGCATGTGTCCCAAAGAGCTAGATGCACGACGGACACCTCTGTGTGCTTCACGCACATCATGCACAACAGCCAGGAGAAAGACGCAGCCCAGGGCCGCGGACTGCACAAGGAAGGTCAGGGCGGTACGCGTGCAGCAGACAGCACTTAGTCTCTAGCAGGAAGGCTTCTCCCCCATGCCGCAAGGCCACCAGGTGAAACGCTATGTGACTGCATTCATGCAAGAGGTCGAGAGAGCACAACTTAAGGAACCAGAATGCCAGACGGTGGTTTT